AATGGCATTCTAATAGAAAAAAGAGTTTATACAAAAACATGGATTCTGGCCATATTCAAATACTTAAAAATATTTCTATTTCTACATCATTAATCATTTTTTTCTGAAATCAAAAGAACACTATTTCATAAATCATTCTGTTTTATTTTATGTCTGTAAGTCTATTTGTAATCCAGGAATGTCTTCTTTGATCAAACTTTAGTTAACCAATACACTCTTAGTTTGGAAGCCAAATGGAACTATACATTTTCAAGCCTGGTCTGACTTTGGAATAGAAGCAATTATAGTATCAAAGAATATTTTTTCATTTGCATTTGAAATTTGAAGCAAACATTAATATATTTCATGTGTCATCCATAAAATTTAACATTATGTATGTATATATGTGTTATTATGTGAAAAATACAAATATACAAAAGATACATTATTTTTAATTATATTTTAATCCAATTTGTAGGTTTTGAATTCATATCAAGTGATGAATGACTGTTGGGAAGAAAGAACTGAAATCTGTTTAGATATTAGGTATTAGAACAAGGCAAGGAATTCTAACAATATCTGCAAACATCAATTCTAGGCCATCAGCCAGTAAATGTGAGTTGACTTTGGTGCAGGTAAAACCCAGTATGTTTAAAGTTTTTAGCTTATTGTAATTTAGATTCAGAAAAAAATGTATTTCTTCCCAATCCCTCTCCATAAAAATTAAAGATGATTTTGAAAATATGGAGTGAAATTACATAGTAAATATTGTAGCTGATTTTAGAAGGAAATTGACTTCACCGAAAAAGTGATTTGTAAGTTTTTGTTTGTTTGTTTTTCCTGAATATAAACCAAAAGAGAATCTGGCACTCAATAAGTGGTATGTGACTAACGACTTTACTGTCCATCAAAAGGGGACTAATTAACAAAATAATGTTACAGCTACACAATGGAAGACCAAAAAACTATTGAAATGAATAAGTTAATTATGCAAGTTGATACAGGAAGGACTCCCAGGTGTGTGTCTAGTTTTAGAATTATTTTTATAAGAGTGCGGAATAATATATACTCTAAGATCCTGTCTATGTGTGTTTTAATGTATTAAGTGTTCATATAAATGGTTTATATTTGGCCAATTCAAAATCGATATATAATGTGTTCATGATTATTACTTCTCCAGGGAACGGGGTAGATGGTGAGTTACTTTTCCATGGAATATGAGAGAGACATCAATGAAATGGAATCTTTTCTACCATTTACCTTTGTACTACATTAATGTACTCTCTTTTTTTTTTTTTTTTTTTTTGCTTTGTCTCTTTGTTTCTTAATAAGTTTCTGGGGAAAGACTGCCTAAAAAAGAGTCTTTCTGGGGAAAGACTGCCTACAAAATTAAAGGAGAGAGAAGGAACTGGAGCTCTGCATAGGGAGGAGTGTTGGAAAAAACAAACTCTGTAGTTGGAGAAATTTGAAGAGGGAAAAAGAAAAAAAGATGTTTAATGAGGATTTACCCAGAGACACATCCTGTTCAGTATTGTTATTCTATGTGGACCCATAGATTTTTTTGAAAGATGACCACAAAAAAGTAGTGGATAGCTTTGGTATGATTTTATTTCTTTGGAAGTAGGAAGAATTCCATGTTTTGCTAATGTTGGTGAGTGAGTGGGGATGGAAAGGAGTCAGGGGGCGCTGCCTGGCTGGCTCAGTCAGTGGAACATGCAACTCTTGATCTCAGGGTCATGACTTCAAGCCACACATTGGGCCAAAAAAAAAAAAAAAAAGGAGTCAGGTCATGTGAACCAGGACTACAGCAGCCATGTCTATCACTGAGGCGTTTGACTGGTAGAGCCATAACACCGTTAACACACTTCATGAGAGCCAAAGGTCCCTGAGGGAATGGTATTATTAAAAAGAAGCGCACGTATACTAATGGAGGATTTCTCTAACATACATTCTATAACATTTTAGCTTTAAATAATTATTTGCTGTAATTGACCTTTTCCAGTACTTTGTTGTTGTTGTTTTGTTTGTTTGTTTTTTTGTTTTTTTAAGTAGGCCCCTTGTCCAGTGCAGAGCTCAACACAGGCCTCAAACTCATGACCCTGAGATCCAGACCTGAGCTAAGATCAAGCGTCAGATGCTTAACCAACTTAACCTGGGTACCCCTTCCCAGTGTGTTATTATTCCATTTTCATTAAGCAGAGATGATGCTGTCTATTTTTAAGTTCACTGCAACACTTCCCATAGCTACATTATTGGGGAAAAACAAAAAAAGATAAACAAGAATATGAGTACAGAGAGCTGCAAGGTAGGGATACAATAATAGAAAATAATTTGTAAATAATATGATTGGTCAGGTTCTTTAAGACTTAATTCACTGTTTTACAAAAATATGTTTATGTGCCTGTCTTCCCTAGCAGATGATAAGATCTTCCTTCCAGGCAGCTCTGTTATGTAATAGAGTCGGTATCCTTAGTGTCTCGTAACATTGCTACATACAATTTGTTCAGTAAATATTCATGAATGAATTTGTATTTTTTAATATAGACCTTTTAGGAGACATTTTTCAAGACTACAGATGATTATAGTTGAATATTCTAAGTCAAACAGACTGGGCATATGTTCTACAAAAATAAAAATAAAATATATATATATATACACACACACACACACAAAATAGATACTTAGAAATTTAGAAGAAAACCTAATTGTCCAATATACCCCAGCTGAATAATAATAGAGTAAAAAATATGATATAAATTTTGATTTGGCTTTTAAATATGATTTTTCAACTCTTATATGTTGCATTTAAGTAGTCATTTTATTTTTTTATCTAAAAATTTTTTTTAATTTTTTTTAAGGTTTTATTTATTTGAGAGAGAGAGCAAGAGAGAACTAGAGGGAGCTAGGGAAAGCATAAGCAGAGGACACTGAGAAGGAGAAGCAGACTCCCCTCTGAGCAGGGAGTCTGACGTGGGGCAGAACTACACCCCAGGACCCTGGGATCATTACCTGAGCTAAAGGCAGATGCTTAACTGACTGAACCACCTGGGCACCCCATAAGTTGTCATTTTATATAAATGTAAAATATACAGGTCATGGAGACACCTGGCTGGCTCGGTCTGTAAGGTATGTGACCCTTGAATTCAAGCCCTACAGTGGGTGTAGAGCTTACTTTAAAAAATTAAAAAATAAAAAAAAATATATATATTATATATATAAACCTATAAATAGATTTGATGAAACATAAAATATAAATATATATATATATGTTTGATGAAATACTTTTAAGTATGAAAACGTAGGAACAGAATGTCAGTTACAATTAGTACATTCATTAAAATCTCAAGATAAATAAAAAATAAAATTAGAAACTTTAAGGGGAAAAAATATATTTTTAAAGATTTTATTTTTAGGGACACCTGGGTGGCTCAGCAGTTGAGTGTCTGCCTTTGGCTCAGGTCGTGATCCCAGAGCTCCAGGATCAAGTGCCACAACCAGCTCCCTGAGGGAGCCTGCTTCTCCCTCCCTTTGCCTGTGTCCCTGCCTCTCTCGGTGTGTCTCTCATGAATAAATGAATAAAATCTTTAAAATAAAAAAAAGATTTTATTTTAAACAATCTCCACACCCAACATAGAACTTGAATTCACAACCCCAATATCAAGAGTCATGTGTTCTACTGACTGAGCCAGCCAGGTGCTTTGAGAAAAAAATATTTTTACCCATTCTTGTTTCATGTATTTTTTAATCCTCTAGGAATCTGAAAAGAACTGAAAGAAACTTTGGTATGAAATGTTATCTTGTAGACGTATCTTTTGCAATTGGGTGGAGCTAAGATTTGGAGCCAATGAACTCACAAGAACTATAAAACTCTGGGTATAGGCTTCTTCTTCAGCCCCATCACTCACATTTTCCCATGTGTGTCCTATTTTCTTTTCAGGCCAAATTCCCTTCTGCTCCCTGAAATCATTCTTGCATGCTGTTCTCTCCAACTTGAATATTATCCTATTTCTCTGTTCTGTTCCCAGATTCTAACCTCCTGTCACCCGCCACCACCCCCCAAACACTTCCTTCTCACATTCATGCTCTTTTTGCCAAATGAAACCTCCCTTCTCCTTTTAGATTCAGTCTAAGTGAAACCTTTTGTAAAGGCGTCAAGCAAGAGTTGTTTATCTGCTTTCTGAGCCTACAGTCTTATTTAGCACTTACTCCAAATATCATCATCATTAGTCTGCTTCACTTTCTCATCCATTAGACCTGGATTTCTTAAGAATGGAATGCTTCAGCACCATTGGCCAAAAAAAAGTATGTTGTTCAACAGAATGGAATGCTCAGCCCATTGGCCAACAATATGTTGTTCAACAATACTTTCCCTGGTCCAGAGCAACATCTAGAAAATAGTGGACATTCAATCAATATGAATGCCTACAAGAATGAATAAATGGCAAAGCAGAAAAAGGGCAATAAACATGAAACCTAGAATAAGACAATCTGCAAGCAATTAAATAATATAGATAACATAGCATAGGAAAGAAACAACTTGTAAAAAAATGATTCAAAAGAAAAGATTAAGAATTACCTAATAGAGAGGCCCCTGGGTGGCTCAGCAGTTGAGCATCTGCCTTTGGCTCAGGGTGTAATCCACCAGTTCCAGGATCGAGTCCCACATCGGGCTCTCCTCAGGGAGCCTGCTTCTCCCTCTGCCTGTGTCTCTGCCTCCCTCTGTGTGTCTCTCATGAATAAATAAATGAATTTAAAAAAAATCACCTAATAGATAGTCAATTTGCCAACTCTTCATGCTTAAGGGAGGTTAGTACATACACATGAGAGGCAGTGTTAGAGATGTCTGGGTGGCTCCATCAGCTAAGTGTCCCACTCTTGATTTCAGCTCAGGTCATCATCTCAGGGTCCTGGGATCAAACCCCACATTGGGTTCCATGGGTCTGCTTGAGATTGTCTCTCCCTCCCCATTCCCACTTGTGCATGCACTCTCTCAAATAAATAAATAAATAAATAATAAATAAATAAATAAATAAATACCTTTTTTTTAAAGTATTTTGTGCATATCTTTATCTACTATCTAGTATTAAACATGTGTTAAGGGTTTTTTCTATCCTGAAAGTATTTTGTATACTCCTTGAAATTAGTAGATGTGTCTCATTTAGTAATTTCTAACTTCTTAGAATGTAGGTAACGTATGAAAAGACCTAAATTCATAATTTCAAAAGGGGATCTGTTTTTTTTTTAAAAGCCACTTCAAAATTTTAATGAGTCACAGTAAGTGTTACGGTTGAATTTGCCCCCTCCCCTTCTAAATTTATATGTTGAAGTCCTAAACCCCCATATCACAGGATGTGCATGTATTTGGATACAGGGTCTTTAACGAGGAAATCTTGCTAAAATTAAGTTAGTAGGGTGGGCCCTAATCCAGTACCACTGATGTCCCTGATAGGGGAAATTTGTACAGAAAGATATGAATATAGGGAAGACAATGTGAAGAGACTGGGGAGAAGACAATCACTTACAAGCCAAGGAGGACTGAGACTGGTCTTCCCTTCATACTCCTCTAAACTACCACATTGATCTTGGACTTCTGGCGTCTATAAACTGTGAGGCAAAACATTTCTGTAGTTTTATTTATTTTTATTTTTTTAAGAGTTTATTTATTTATTTATTTATTATTTATTATTATTTATTTATTTATGAGAGACACAGAGAGAGAGGCAGAGACACAGGCAGAGGGAGACGCAGGCTCCATGCAGGGAACCCGATGTGGGACCTGATCCCGGGACCCCAGGGTCACAACCTGAGCCAAAGGCAGATGCTCAGCCACTGAGCCACCCAGGCATCCCCATTTCTGTAGTTTTAGCTACCCATTCATGGTAGTTTGTTACGGTGGCCCTAGGTAACTATAAAATAAGCAGTGGCTTAAATATCAAAATGGTATAATAAATTCCAATTTTTGTATGTTGCCTTGTTTTGGTAATGACTTCCTTATTCATCAAGAGTGGCCTCTCTTAAATCATATATTAAATATCATTTGAAAATATCTTTCCATGGGTTTTTTTTTCTCTTTTCTGTTTTAACATGCTCTAAAATTTGATTTCTTGAAACTGCTTCTTATTTAGAAATATGAACTGAATGACCTCAAAATGGCAATGTTTGCAACTGACTTTGTTGAAGATCCTTAAGGAGAAAGGCAACTGAAGAAATCAAATGGAAGTCAGACATGTGGAGTCCTCAGGGATATATTGGTGCCTTGTGAAAGCCCAATTATTTCATCTTCTTTGCAGACTTGTTCCTCCACTGAGAAAATGGTGAGGTTTTTTTTTTCTTTTTAAATCACATTAATTATTAATGGTAATGGAATGGTAAGTATCTTAAAATTTTAACACTACAAAGCCCATTTGAAGTCATTTCTCTGTTTAGTTAATACAAGAGTTGGATTGATAATGAAATACTTAAGTGATGTAATGGGATTTATTATAATTGGGGTCAGTGTATAAACTGTTGACATCTAACTTTCACATTTTCCCAAGGTACTGTAAAGGTATCATGGCAACGATTTATTTATACCGTAACAAAATACAGCAAGTTGAAAATTGCTATAGATAAAACGGTTATTTTTGGTAACATCATAAAGTGAGGTAATAAAGGAAGTGCTGTAAAACAGCATATTTTTTCATAAATCCTTTGAATTTTTAATAATCATTTGGTATTGCTCTTGAGAATTTATGTATCTAAGCTAAATGCTTATCTGCAAAAACACAAAAATATACTATCAACTTAGTTTGCTGTCGTTTCTATTTTTTCTAATCTTACCGAATATTTTATTGAAGAATACAAATCTCATGCCAAAATACCTGTTTTGATTCCAGTTATATGTGATGCAGATGGATTGAGATAAACAGATTATTGGTCTTGAATAAAGTTGATAAACCTCATTAATTTGGCTTTCCATTTTAATGAGAGGGCTGAGAACAGGCAGGGATAATTCTCAAATTCAATCTGGGATATGGTGATCATATCAGTTTGCTCAAGCTGGCAAAGCAAAATACTACAGACTGGGTGACTTAAACCACAGAAATTTATTTTCTCACAGTTCTGGACACTAGAGATCCAAAATTAAGGTGCCAACAGGTTTCGTTTCTTACGACGTCTCCATCTTTGGCTTGCGGAAGACCACATTCTCACTGTGTCCTCACGTAGTTTTCTCTGGTGTCTCTCTGTGTGTCCTCATTTTCTCTTTTAATACAGATACTGATGGAATTGGATTAAAGGTACCCTAATGTCCTTGTCTCATGAAAGGTCCTATCTCTACATACAGTCATCCTCTGAGATACTGGGAGTTAGGGCTTCAACAGATGAATTTGGGGGTAGGGTCATAATCCAGCCCCAGTAGATTTGTACATTAGATATAGGTACCAGAAAAAAATATTTTTAAGACATGGATTGAAAAATTCAATGAGAAGATTCAACTAGAATGAATCCCAACCGATCAATACTTAAAGAAGGTACTTCAAAACGGTATTTGAGTTCAGTAGGTCAACAGTCATAGTCAGAAGATCGACTTGTTTCATCTGTAAGCTTTTCAGTGGGCAAATTATTTTTATCCATGTTTTCTATACAAGATAATTAAAATCTATATCGATGCTGTGACCTGCCCACTGCCAGATATCCTAAGTGGAAGGGGCTCAAAGAAGCAACGACTCGCTGCAAGTCTGAGCACTCTGGCTTTCCAGCTATCCACAATATAAGCAAATGGCAAATAGGCATAAATAATAGAATATATTTAATTGTGTTACTTTTTCTTGTGGCCAGTTCTAATCTGTGTAAATAAAGTTGAACTAATAGATGTTAAAACATTCTCAACACATGGATTTAATTGCATAGGTGGGAAGGAAAGCATAATAAAAAAGGCCCTTCCCTTAGTGTTGAAAATGTTGGAAACATGTCACTGAACTATTTTAGTTCTATTTTCATGGAATATTATCATTTCCTTGGGCATTTAGAAATACTTCAATTTAGTCAGGGTCTCACCAAAAGGATACTTAGAGCACAGTAAAGAAAATAACAAGTCATAACATAGCAAGGTACAATAAAATGGATAGATTTATAGGATATAAGGGGAAGTGCCATTTCCACGGGGCTTCCAAGGATCTGTGATGATACGGGTAAACATAAAGAAATTCACTATAATTGGCCAATGTATATATTATTGACACCAAACTTTCACATTTTCCTAAGATACTCTCCTTCTCTGGAAGGCAAAACAGCTTGTGCAAAGGCATGGAAATGGGAACGAACATGACGTTATTGTTAAGGGTAAGGTCAGAAAGATGTGAGCTGCAGGAAAGGAGCGGTGGAAGACGAGGTGGGTAATTTCAGTTGCTGTGAGGACGTGTTTTAGACATCTTCTCCATGTGATTTGATACTGACTGCCTGGCGTCACGTGTGAGGATTTGAAGTACCTGAAGATTCAGAATTATCTTTGCTTTTATGAGGTTAATCAGATAAGGGTTGAGGCCCTCACTGTGGCTTTCCAACAAGGATTATCCTCCTCTCCACCCCAGCCCCCGTTTCCAACACCAACTTCTTTCCTCTCCGAACCACGATGTGATTCAGATGCTCCATGGAAAATGCTCACAAAAAGGTGAGCACAGTCACAGGGTCAGCCGTGTTTACTATGAACCAGTCATCGTAATAGCACGCTTCGTTATCAATGATTAAACTAACCCAGATTGTAAAGGGGGGGCACATGCTGGTGTGATTTGCGGTAAGATTTTGTTCTTTGATGGTGAGAGAGCCAGATGCAAAGGATGGTACTGCCCTTCCACTCCTGCTTTTGGATGTTGCTAAGTAAGAAGATGATGTTGGAGGGCTAGAACCCTGCCTGGGTCTTTGCCCACATCACTGAGCCACTGAACAACCCCCACAGGCGTGCTTTCTCATTTATGGCAATTGGTATTGGAAATTATTTCATGGTTAAGAGCATAAACTCTGCAAATACATGATTTGAATTTGAAACCAGGCTCTGACACTTTCCAGCTGTGTAACCGTAGGTAAGTCACTCAGTCATGGGTGCCCCTGAGGGGAAATAGTCAACATAATAGGTCAGTGTCAGTCTCTGTTCTTGCTCGTCCCCGTTACCTCCGTGACGGCCCTTGCTCCAACACTGGAAATGAAGCTCCTCGAATGTTCTCGTAATGACTTGGTAATGATGTGTTTTTCTACATGCAAAGAGCACCGGGTCAAGATGAATCAAATCATTAGCATGTTGGAAGCAAAACATGAAGGTTCATTACGTGCATCTACTTGTTTGCAAGTCTACACCCTAGCGGGGCTTTGACTCTAAGACTCCAGTGGGCTTTCTTGGGAGAAGACATCTCACACGCTGCGCTGTAGATTTTTACTGGAGGAAAAAGATATGTCTGTGTGATCCCCACAGCCTCGGCCTTTTTATATCTCCGTCCTGCCTTTTCTGCACTGTGTTCTTTGCTGTTCTGAACCTTAGCCATGATTATAAATGTATGCTGAGCTGGGTGACTCCTTCCAGCAAATCACTGAGCTAGTGGACAGTTAGAGGACTATCGGGTGCAGCCCTTGATTCCAATTACATGAAATAAAGCTAATTTTAGTACCTACCCACTGAGTTTCTTTTGAGAATTAAAATGCAATTACTATTTTTAAAATCCTTATTAAACAACTGCATGACAAATATAAAACAGATATACGGGTTTCGCTATCATTACGTTTTTAAAAACTGGCGAGTGAATTTTAATGACCACTCCCTTAAACAGAAAGCATCTTACTATTTAAACGTTCCTATTAAAAGGTAGCAAAATCTGACCTTTCTGGACTAATTGGCTCATAAAAATGAAAATGTGTGGGAAGGGGGCCGACCGGTGAGTAAGGAACAGTGAGGGAGGGAGTTCTGCAGGGTGTCAACAATCACTGAGTTCAGGTCAAACTAGTTTTGGGGTTTTGTGTCATTTTGGTTTTCGTTCTGTTTTGTTGGTTTGCTTTGTTTGTTTTTAGTCTGGGTTTGTTATTGGTTGACAGTTTAGAAATGGTTTTGCCAGACGCTGCCCGTCCACGGAAATACGCTGCTGCATGAACATTAAACAATTCAAGGTCTTGCCTGATAGCAGGTAGACTGTAACGGTGCATTTTTAGCCATTCGGTTAAAGAAGAGCAGAAAGTGACACTGCGCTGATGAAGTGAGCAGGCTGAGCTCCACCAGAACCAGAGCCGCCGGTGTGGAAGTGCTGGAGGCCTGGGTGAGCCAAGGAGCACCCCATCCGTGCTGAGAACAGAGACACCTGCTTGTGTGATCTTCTCAACAGCCCTTGTTTACACTGTGAGTGAATTTTATATCCTTATAAAGTGTGAGTTTACTGCTGCAGAAGTCCGTAGCACGAGAAACAGACACGTGAAAAACCTGAGATTGATTGTCCTTGTCAAAAGCCGAAACAGCACGCACCGGGGGAACCTGCTGCAAACCACAGAAGGGGGGGCGGCCTGTTGACCCCGCCAGAGGCTCGGGCTTGCACTGCACGTTCTGGGGGGTCGTATTCCAGTGCCCTCCCTACTGGGAGAGTTAAAATGACAAAATGTAGTAACTGGAGATTAAAGCGAGCATTCCAGGTTCGATTATTTTAGACAAGAGCCATCATCCTAAACACAAGTGATGGAGCTTCATCCATCCCACCGGCCGGTGAGCAGGATCTTCACATCCTCTGGGCCATCCCAGGGAGGATACAAATACTAATTGGGATTTCACTGTGTACCAGGCTCTGCACGTTGCCCTGGGTGGTCTCCACGATGCTGCTGCTGCTGCTGATGACAGAGTCACAGAAACAGTACGTGCGCACTCAGACCTGGGGCTGGGAGGCATTTAAATAATTTAGTTTATGAGCGTATTATCTAACACTCACAGTGGTCACAGTGATCAAGGGGAACCAGAGTCACCAAGTTCTGTGTGGCCCTCCATCGCGCTCCAGGTCCTGCTGACCCCCTGCCTCTTCTCCACTGTTCCGCAAGCACTGTCAGGGCCAGCCGCCTCCCCGAGCTGCTGGCTCTCCACGTCCACCAGGGGAGCCCACTGGCCCCCTAATGCCCCAGGACCCAGATTCCCACATAGGGATCCTGTTGGGATTTCTGTTTTCCCGGCCTGTCTCTGACTGTTGGAGTCACACGTGATTGAAATCACATATTCCTGCTTCAAACTCAATTCCGTTCCATTCAACAAATATTTATTTAGGGCAGAAACTGTCAGACACCATTACGAAGATAAAGAAAGCACAGTCCTTGCATTAGCCAGGCTGAAAGCAGGCTCTCCTGAGCAGCACACACTGTCTGCCTGCTTCGCTGGTACATCTAGTCACACCCATGAATGATCAATACCTCTAGCAATCCTTTATGTCACTCTCAGAGCCTGAAGCGTGGCTGCTACGGCCGCCCGATGAAAATATTTTAGTACCAAACTGATAATTTAATTTGATTCTTTGCTTTTAAGGATACATATGTGTGCTTTTCGCCTCACCTTCTTTTTCTTTTTCACCTCAACTTCTTAGGGAAAGATATTACATCTATTTTAGTTAAGAGGCTACTCATGCAGATTTAACAAAAAAAGTGATAATAGTAAGTATTCAGGAAAGATTTTGTCATCTTTAACCAGGCATTATTAATAATTAGGGTGAACATATTTGTGGATTTGAACAATAGCTTAGAAATATTGTCCCAGCTTTCAGACTCTTGATCTTGAGGTTGTAAATTTGACCCCACCGTTGACTGTAGAGGGATTACTTAAAAATAAAAATTAAAAAAAAAAAAAAGAAATCTTGTCCCAACTTGGTGTTTTTTAAGATTTTTGTCATCATTCTTACATTAACACTGCATTAAAATAAAATCCTCTCCTCTGAATGTTCTCTTTTAGAAGGGAAGCTACAAGTAAAAGAATTCTGACTTTATTTTCAAATCTGAAACATGCCTAGCAAAAAGCCACTTTTCTGGTTTTTTGGGGTTTTTTCCCCTTTTCTTTTCAAGCACAGGCTTGCTGATAACTATTTTCCAAGTTCAACATGCAGAATCCTTGCTGAAAAATGAATTCTCTTGGATCCAAGTGGCTAGAGACAGCTGTTTCCAGTCTTGGGTGGTGGTAGTAGAATCCTTTGATCCAATTTTCTTTGCCGGTCACTTAGACTATCAACCACTTGTACCATGTCGCAGTTGGCCAACGAAAGCTTCCATGTAGTCAGCTGGTATGGGCAGCAGGAAACATGATAAATTAAATGTTAGACATATA